GTTAGGTTGTACGGATATGAACCAAACTGGGCGATCCAAACCGAGCAAAGCAAGTGGGTGGTTTAGGATTCGGACCCACCCAGTCCGACCCGTTTCGAATTCGGGTCGACCCGCATCAAGTTGTCCGGGGTCGAGCGGGGCTGTGTGAATAATGGTTGGACCGGATGACCCAAACCAGGCAAAGCAAGCGACACCAAGCCATCCCGTTCAAGGTCTACTTCGAATTCAGGTTAACCCGTATCGGTATATGTTGGATCGGGTCAGACTGCATTAAACTGGTCCGGACTCGGGTCAAATTGATTTGGATTTATGTTGGGTGAAGTGTGTTGATTCAAGACTAAACTAAAGCCTACACATGGCCTTCTCATTTTTTGGAAAGGTAGACACATGGCAAATTTATGAGAATTTGATGCTAAAGCCTACAACCCACTACCACCATTTTCAATCAATTCCTAAAAAAATGCAGAAAATGCAAAAGTGGCTATTCACAACCACTTATAACTATATTCTATCAATCTCAGTTAATCATTAACCCTCTAAATATCATAACAAAAGAAAACTATCAATATTCTAATAATTATTGAAAAGGTATTTTTTAAAATAAACATTTCTTGAAATTTTAATAATTATTTAAAATATTAATAAATATAAATTTAACAGTATTGATTTCTTAGTGTAAATTTAACATTATTGATTCCCCGTACTTACTACGAGATCATTCACTAGCTTTCCATTATTTCAAATGCATTAAAACGTAGAAATATCAACTAAGAAAACATAAAAATCATAAAAAGTTCAAAAATAATTTTCAAATAAAAACAAAATTGCACAAAAACAATGAAAATGTTAAATATATTTCATATAAAACATCAAAATTATAGAAAAAAAATAAATGAAAGTATCATTTCACATAAACATGGAAAATTGTAAAAAACATAGAAAAATGCAAAAAAAACAAAAAATGCAGAAATTTAGAAAAAATATAAAATAAGAAAAATAGAAGTTGCAAAAAACTAAAGAACTTATAAAACATTTTAGAAAAAACACAAAAATTGCAAATAAATAACAAAATAATACAGAAAAATGTATAAAGTGCAAAAAAACATAAATTATGAAACATTTAGAATAATGATAAAATGCAAAGAAAAATATAAAAATTACAAAAAACACTCAAAATGGAAAAATATAAAAATTACAGAAAAACAACAAAAATTATAGTGAATATATAAAATGCAAATAAATAACAAAAGTACAAGAAAACCAAACATAAAAAAATATTGGAAAATTACAAAATTGATAGATAATTTGCATTTTTTAATACAAGAAAATAAAATGTAAAAATGTTAGTAATTTTTTTTATAAAAGTTTCCATCATTTTCTTAAATTAATAAAAAATTCAAAAAATTGTAATTTCAATCATTTTCTTTACAGGCGGCTGATTCCATCTTATTTATGGGCGACGAAACTAGATCTGTCTTCAAAGGGGAAGATGATCAAAACAAATCTGTGTTTAACTAGATCTACTGCAATCTCTACTGTGGATGTGTTTGGCGAACTCAGATCTGTCTTCACAGAAGAAGACAATGAAGCTTGAACCAGATCTAGCCCAACCTCTGCCGTGGATCTATTTTGTGAACCCAGATCTATCTTCATAGAGGAAGACGATAAAGATTTGAATCAGACCTTGTGCGACCGTTGCCCTAGATCTATGCGAACTCATATCTGTCTTCACAAGGTTTAAACTAGACCTAGTGCGATCTCTTCAGTAGATCTGCATTTAGGAACTCAGATCTAGTGCGATCTCTTCAAACAGTGAACACAGATCAGGGTTTGAACCAGATCTAATGAATATTTGTCACTTGCTCTGCCATGGCGAAAAGAGTAGACATACGAGGAGAAGGAGAAGAAGAAGAAGAAAAAGAAAAAAGAAAGAAAGAACGAGAAATAGAGGCCGGCACTGAGAAGGGAGAAGAGAAAATCACTAGTCGCCAGCATTGAGAATAGTGACCAGAACTTTCTCCCCTCAACCTGGTCATTCGCAGAATACTCCACCCTAAGTCCTGATCCTTTCGACCCTTCCCTCGATCCAACTGACCCTAATCCTTTACAACCCAATGGGTACCCTTGACCCAACCCCACCCTGACCCTCTTCCCCTGACCCAAATGGGTGATTCGACCCATAATGACCCTTATCCTAATAGGTGGTATGGGTGAATTTTTAAAAGGGTGGGTTGGGTGGGTCAGAAGGGTTGGGGTCAACATTGCCACCCCTAGTTACATATTCATGAATTCATGCCCATGTCTATAATTATGGTTAAAAATAAATAGGGATCAACTACTATTTTACCCCATTCTATGGTAAAGTGGCATTTCCAAAAGCGCTCTTCTTAGTATAGGCTATTGGCCCCTAACATCCAAAGCTTTCCCACCTACCAAATCAGGAGGAACCATGGGAAATGATGGGGTGTTGGACGAGAAAAACAACTGCCACATCAGCAAAACTAATATAATGTGCTGGTGTGGCAGTTTTTTTTTTTAAAAAACAAAACCAGGTGTTCTACAATGTGAATTGCTTTCTTATTGCCAGTTCTAAAAACAAATCAAAACAATATGGTTTGAAAGCAGATTGTTTCTTAGAACAAAAGCACAAAAAACGTTTATTTGGTTGTGCATGCCTTTTTGTTTACAAAACTGAAACCAAAACATGTTCTTAAATTTTTTGACTCAAAACCATGTTTTCATCTAATTATTTAATATTATGTTCCATAAATCCTATAATTTCTATATTAGAAATTTTGTTTTTGTTCTAAAAAGCATTATTTTGATGGTTCCAAAAACATTTGAACGTGTTTTTGTTGTTTTACACTGATGTGGCAATTCCAAAAATAAATGAAAACAAAATTATTCATGTTGTAGGAACACTCCTTAAATGTGGTGATTTGGAAATATCCTTTTTTTTAACCGGATGAAAAAAAGGGATTATATTATATTATATTATAAACATCTCTTTTATAAAATATAATATAATATATTATATTATAAGAAAAAAATGGCATTTATGTCTTTTTCAAGTTTTTCTTGTACCTCTATTCCTTTGGCAACACTTTCAGAAACAATATCCAAGAAGTGATTACTTTCCAATCACAAATAGAGCTTTTTCCTAAGACGTGTCTATCCACTTTTCAAAAAATTTAAGTAGGGCTCTTCACGGGTCGGGTTGGGGCGGTTTATTGAGGTTTTTCCAACCGATCCGACCTGGTCGGGTTACCTGAGACGGAAACCGAAACTGACCCAGTGTTAAGTAAAACCAACCTGGTCGGTTTGAGTCGGATTGGGTCGGCTTCGGCTCTAAGTTTATCCATACCCCCCATGGCCACCTAGTTTTTTGGAAATATATTTAAAACTGAAATATGTATTTTAGAAATATATATATATATATAAACAAAAATATACATACAAATATATTGGAATATATATTTTCTGGAAATATATATCTGACACATTTCATAATATATATTTTTTAGATATAGATATTGGAATATATATTTTCAGATATTTTAGTGAGAAAACCGAAACCGACCCGAATCATCGGTTTATGAATTTGTACAACCCAAAACTGACCGGTGCTAATGAAAATCCGGCCGACTCAAGTTGGGTCAGTCCGGGTTGGTCGGTTTGGTCGGGTTGGACCTTCTTATGAACAGCCCTAAACTTAAATAACTCCATTATATATAAAAAAAAAAGTGCGAACTTGAGACACACCATATCTATGAAAAATATCCACCGTAAAGGATGTAAATTCCATATTAATCTTTGTAATTCAAATAAAAGAATCACCACAAAATTTTTTAAAATATAAATTAAATCTGAATTAATTATTTAAATTAAAAAAAAATCAAATTAAATATAATCACCAAATAACTAGTGAATCTCAAATAATATGATATTATTAATAGTTACCACGGGCCCATTAAGGTGGTGTTCGACTGTTAATCAGCCGTTAAGTGGTATTTGAAAAAGATACGAATGCCTTTCAAGTGTTATTTAATTTTTTTTATCAACCATCTAAACATTGGCAAAAAATTAACTGTCCCAAATCTTTGCCTTTTCCATTCAAGAAAGTTGGGATTATGTTTAAGTAGATATTCTGGTGATCTCAATTTTTTTGAATAGAAGAGACAAAGATTGGAGACTGTTAATTTTTTTTGTCAATGCTTAGATAATTGATAAAGAAAATTAAATAATACTCAATAGGATATTTATATCTTTTTCAAATGCCACTTATTAGCTGTTTAACAGTTAATTAACAACAGATTCTGAATTCTCGTATTTTAAAAATTCAGATACTAAATTATCTTATTTTAAAGTTTGGGGAGCAAAGTGGCACTAGGCCCAAAGTAGAGAATACTAATTAGGAATTTTCCCTTTTCTTTTATCCCAAGCTCACAGTCAGTCTGCTTAGATGTCTGTAATTGAGTGCTTTGAAGAACGCTCGAGTCCTTAATTTGAGGAGTGAAAACAAAATCCTCGAACTCTGTTGCCAGAACTGAGCTACCAGACCACCATGACTGGTTCGGTTAAGGGACTATCTCCAGGGGAATTGTGGTTAATATACGGAAGAATCCAGTGCAATCTGAAATATAACTTTGTATTCTCATGTGCATTTCAACAACCACAATGGAATCACTTGATTTTAAGTGATTCCTTGCCGAACTGTTGATAGCACCATGGCTCCCCTACTTCTGTAGATCCGTCGTCGGTTCAGAAAAACAGACTCAGTTTTTAGGGATGGTGACTCTTCAATCTTCTCCGGGTACTAATCAATACAGACCAAGCCTGTTCTAATTCTAAAATTTAGTGTTTTGACTGATGAAATTAAACGGAAACTTCAATCGAAGATAATCCAGGAAGAGAGATTTCAAGCATGATTAAACAGAGATTTAGTGCTCTGACCGGTAAAAGCGTTGCAGAAGAAGCAGAGGAGGAGGAGGAGCCCGTACCTGCCTCAAATCATGGAAGAGCTGAAGGGAAGCTTTTCACGATGAAGCGGAGAGCTTTTGTTGTTCAAGCTACGTGTCTGAGATTGGAGAGCTTCGTTGAAAAAGTGTTTGATCGCTTCCTTGAGGCTTGAGACTTGAGTGAGGAACATGGAAATCGAGCACTGAGCAGAGGCGAGATTGTTTGAGCCATTCATCGAAAGGGTGATAATGGGCAGACAATTTGTACGGATCTCCACCATAGATATGGCATCTTATGTCAAGAATTCATATATTCAATTCAGGAGAGTGATAGGCGGTGGACCACACGTCTACACGCCAACTCAACTAAAAGTCTCTTGTCTTGTGACCGTGGTTGCATGTTGACCGCACATTCTACCATGAATTATTTTCACGCGAGATGCTCCCAATGGTTGATATGCATGTGAGGCGCCCATTTGTGAGGAGTAGATCCCATCTCCGTTGTATGCGATGCCAAATGAAATTTTGAAATAATGTCATTTTTTTTTTAATCTAGTGCAGTAGTTCAAATCTGTCCCCACTGAACGTGCTCCAAAAATCTCCTACATCACATCCCAATCGTGTATAGAAAACATCTTCCAATGACAAATATGAGAGATATTCTCAATGCATGCATATATATGTAGGGCATTTTTAAGGCACGTTATGTAGGAGGCCATGACAGCAAATCAAAGGCATGATGGACTTCTTCAAATAACAATTCTCAATATCTCATCAAGTCGATCACTTATGGTATGTTTGATTGCTGCAACGGGAAAGGGAAAATGAGAATATTCTCATAAGATTCTGGTTTTTTAATGTTTGTTCAAAGGGATGGGAAGGGAAACATGTGGGATGCAGGTTCCCAAAATGGATGAAATGGGGTTGCGTTGATTTGGTGCGACCCTGGTGTGAAAGGAAACTTCTGAGAAAAAAGATTGGGCTCTTCCTCCTGCTCTCTTTCTAGACAACCCTCATCAAGAACCTGCGTCAACAACGGTCTTCTTGCCGATGCTGTTATCGTTGAACTCCGAACAAGGTACAACCATGAACATGACCGCCAACGATCGAAAAATATTTTATGTACTATCTTTGTAGCCATCGAGCTCTTCTTGTCAGCGGGAAGAGATGGCTGCTCTCCGACCAGAATCCATTCTTTTTGGCATGTAACCTTGATTTTTTCTACAAATCTACACTTATATCTTGTAGATCTAAGGTTTTTTTTTTTAACTTGTAGGGTCCAAATCTCCTTGCTCACTCGTGCAAAGGTAAGATATCCTAACTATTTTCAGATCCAAAACGATGAACGACTGTTATAGATCTACCGTAAGCTCTATATTTTTTTTTTTGGTTTTGTGGTCATTTTTTTTCAATATGGTATGTTTTGGGTTGAGATGTATATCATTTTTGTGATTCTTGGGTTTAAGGTATGTATCATTTTTGCTCACTCGCACAAAGGTAATAGTGTTCATACGGCCGCTGATTTGTGTTCATTTTTTTTCCTTTTTTTTTTTGAATGGCAGTGTGTATTCGACACATTATTGGGATGAATACCATCGTGTGATGGATTGATGCTTTACTCTGAATTTTTGGATGAATACAGAACTTTTGTTTTGTTGATTTTGGCATGAATACAAACCAATTTCTTATGCCAATTTTGAGAATGAATACAAACCAATTTTTGTGTCGAATTTTGTGACGAATACAAACCAATATTGGGATGGATACAAACCGGTTTTTTTGCTGAGTTTTGTGATGAATATAAACCAATTTTTGTGCTGGTATTTGGGATGATTACAACCCCCTTGTTTTTTGTTCTTTTGCTGATTTGTGGGATAAATACAAACCAATGTTTTGTTGATTTGTGGGATGAATACAAACCAATGTTTTGTTGATTTATGGGATGGATACAAACCAATTTTGGGAATGAATGCAAACCATACACTATATGGGTAATTTTTTTTTTTTTTGGTGATAATAGAAAATGAATGTTGTTCATAAGTAATGTGGGCAAAGTATAAATGCCATGTTTCATTTTGTCTTCTCTTTGTAAACACATACTATGTATACAAACTATACATATCTACCTACCATTTCTACAACTTGTACCATGTTTCATTTTGTCTACAACTTATACCATATTTCATTTTGTCTTCTCTTTGTAAATACATATTATGTCTACCTATCTATTTATACATGTATGTAGATATGCATATATCTCTCTCTCTCTCTTCATCCATCCATCATTCCCTATTTTCCTATTTCCCTCCATATATGTAGATATATTAATCCCATTGATTAGTAGGTTTTTACCCCGTTATATGTGTTTCATTTGATTCACATGCATTAATGAATGGATGAATCAATGACTCGATGATTATTGGACAGGTTTTCCTAAGCCTTTTGAATGTAGGTTGATAATATGTTAATCATATTTTAATGCACATTGTTATCTTAACCACAGGTTTTAATGACCAAGTACTATGTTGTGAGGCCGTTGCCCTGGGGTGTACTTGACATGGGCAGAATGTAGCGCCCAACTGCCCAAGTGTATCGATTTAGTGGGGCAATTTATTGCTCATACAACATGTACGAGAAGAAGTCGTACATGGATTTCGCATGTACTATAGTAGGAATTCCACACCGTATAGCACACATCAGCCTAAACTCGAAGAGGAATGTTCTTTCATACAAAAAAATGATGCGAACAAGGAATCTTTGAGAGAACAAATTCGGCAGGAAAGGTTGATTATTAGTTGCCTCGTGGTTAGCCTACTGGCCATGATTATATTATATTGTATGAAATTAACGAAAGATTGTTTCACCCTTTTGCCATAAAACTATCATTTTGTCAATTTTGATTGCCACGTGGCAATAGATGAAATATGTATCATATTGTATGTACGCCACATGGCAAAACACGCATCCATGTCAACAAATATACTTTATTATTGCATGTGTTGGTGTGAATAATGTCAAGCAATTGAAAACATTGCATTACAAAACTGACTGATTTTCTCGATAAACAAACACACAATGCAAATCTAAGAAAAAATATTTTCTCTTCTCGTCCCATTCTCTCTCATCCTTTCTTAGCAACCAAACGTACCATGGAGATCAAAGGGAAGCTATTGTCATTTTCAAGCCTAAAGCCTTTACATAATTCTTTCAAAACAAACTGAGATAATAGTTTCTTCAATTTGTTCAAGAGCAAAAGATCTACTCCATCACCGGAACTGCTCATCAGCTTCATCTGCTGCTTGATTCAGTGGAGGTACATGAATGCCACGAATGATGCTATGAATCAAAACAGGACTAGTCAAGCAAAGGTAAACAAAATTGTAAGCAAGATGAATTGCGGTCAGTCTTTTGGGTATTATTGTTGCATTTCCTCAAAGTAATCAGCATCAACTAATCATGTACCAGATAATATTGCAGAGAAATTCATCAAATGTATGCAGTAATCTGTCCAAGTTGCAATTTTCAGTGGCTCAAAAGAGTATTAAACTCCGAAAAGGGAAATACTCGGTTCTCAAATTAAGTAAACTTAATATCAATTTACCAATACCTTTTATGCTAGAATTTTTAACAAGTAAAATACAATTTAGATGTTTTGAAATGTGATGATATTCGCGCACATTAAGCTACTAGATGATGCATGGGGAGAGTTGGAAAGTCATTACCTCTTAGCATTTTCCATTACTAAAAGTAAGCTTCAAAATTAAAACCTTTTCAACCATTAATTGTTATCTATTGTGCTTTGTAGTCACAATTGTAAGAGGTTGTAGGTGGACTTAGGATCCACATCACTTGAAATTGGGCATGCAACCGATCTTGCACTTTCAACTCAAACCATGTTAACTAGTTATTGACCTAGGGCACAGGCTATACTAAACTATATATGACTCTGTGATGGTTTTGAGTGTTCTATAATAAATAGATTGGATTTATGTGATTAACATGCAAAGGACACAACTTCATTGCTCTCAGAGCTAGCAAAAGTGGTTTCAACCTATTGTTTCTCTGAAATTTACTGGTTAGTGTTTTTCAAAATTATGGAATGGTGGTTATAAGGGATAATTTGGTCCTCCAATGATATCATGATACATGGCATCTCAGGACAGGTAGGTGACTTCTAGGCACCATGCAAACAGACTGCTTCGAATACCTCGCAATTGTATTAGCAACCTTGGCACCACCCCAGTAGGCCAAACTACGAACAACTAATCGGGACCTCGGGTCGATGTAAGAGGCAACCTGCTTCCACTAAACCTCCCTAGCCCCTATAAGTAGGGGTGGCAACGAGCTGAGCTTTTCATGAGCTGCTTGAGCTTGGCTCGTGAAAAGCTCGACTCAACTCGATTTTAGCCGAGCTTGAGCTCGAGCCCAATTTAATGGCTCGATTATTAAACGAGTCGAACTTGAGCCTACTAGAGGTCAGCTCGTGAGGCTAGCGACCCGACTCGAATATATATATATATATATATATATATATATATATATATATAATGAAATTATAGAAAATAATATATATAATAAAAATATTATAATTCTTAATTTTTTAAATATAAAATAAAAAAATTATATATAATTTTTATTTTTATAAAATATTTTTTCTAAATATTTTTATAAAATATAAAACAAGCCAAGCTCAAGCTTATGAACTTTTGACTCGAACTGAGCTCGAGCATTGTAGAATAGTGTCGAGCCAAACTCGAGCCTGGTACTATTCGGCTCGAATCCACCCCTACTGGCAAGACATCAGGTTGGCATAAGAGGTGACTTGCTTTTTTCGACCTGACCTGAGTTCAACTAGCGACCTGTTGGGTGACCTCCTCCTTAAGCGAGTTGTTGTCTTTGACTTCCCCAGGATCACAATGCTACGTCAGAAGAGCCGAATATCACCCCGCCCGCTTTGGGTGCGACTAGACAAGCATTATCCGCTTACACGAATTCCATCTCCAAGTGTGAAACCACCTTCAAGCCATATGGGCCAGCAGTCCCGGGTTCCCGTCTATATAAGGGCCCCACCTCCAACCTTAGATGGTATGTGCAATTTAGCTCTCACAGCTCTCTAGCTCTTGCACTTTTAACTCTCTAAAAAATCTCTAGTTCGTTGACTTAAGCATCGGAGTGCCCACCCCGGGTAGAGCAACTCAGATAGTGATATTATTCT